AGTGGCCTGGACACTTCATCTGCCAGTTCCCCTTGGTGAATCCATGTTGCCAACTCCCGATAACCTTCTTGTCCTCCACATGCTTAGAGATGACCCCCAGAATGAGCTCTTCCATCACCTTTCCAGGGGCAGAGGTGAGGCTGATTGGCCTGTAATTTCCTGGCTCGTCCTTCTTGAAGGTTCAAGTGACATTGGCATCCCCCCAGTCCTCAGGCACCTCTCCTGCTCTCCATGGCCTCTCAAAGATGATGGAGAGTGGCACAGCGATAACATCTGCCAGCTCCCTCAGCACTCATGGGCGCATCCCATCAGGACCCATGGATTCGTGAGTGTTGATTTTGCCTAAGTGTTCTCTAACCTGATCCTCCCTGACCAAGAGAGAGTCTTTCTTTCTCCAGACTTTCTCTCCTACCTCCAGGGTCTGGGATTCTTGAGGGCCGGACTTCGCAGTAAAGACCAAAGCAAAGGCGGCATTCAGTAACTTGGCCTTCTCTGTAATCTCCGTCACCAGGGCACCCACCTCCTTCAGCAGTGGGCCCACATTTTCCCTAGTCTTTCTTTTGCTACTGATGTACTTGAAAAACCCTTTCTTCTTGTTCCTGACAGCCCTTGCCAGATTTATTCTAAGTGGGCCTTAGCTTTCCTCCTTGCATCTCTACATACTCTGACAATGGACAGGTAACAGTGGGATAGACATTCTTAGGGACAGATGTTACAAGAACTGCAGTTTCAGATAGGATCACTTACTGCTCTGGGACTGGCATCTAACTTGCTGGAGCACTGCCATTAAAAGTATTTATAATATACTTTGGCAATACACAACTCACCTCAGCGTGCTGTTAGGTCTACACTTACTGGTAATTCTTTAAGACAAATATTTTTGGCAAGTTGAGGATGCTAAAGACTGCAGGTATATACCATCAACTGTAACAGAAATCCAACTAGCACTATCACCAGACAGGCAAATACAAAACTAACAAATGCATGCATTTTAAAAATAAGTACTTTTTCTTAAAGCTGTAAATGCTCTAGAGGGGTTATTTTACCTCTTTCTTTCTTTCGTGTAAAATTAGAAATTCTTGATACCATTTGTCATGCTCTTCAATATCTTCTTTTGTTCTTCCACAAAGATACTCAAGGGCTTCATCCACATATGATAGCCTTCCTTTGTGTTTTGTCCAGACTTTCAGAAAATTTTGATGATCATAATCATCCCAGCCTCCTTGCCGCCCTCCCGTTCGCTGAAGAAATCTTTCAAACTCTACTACTTCTTCAGGTAGATTATTTTCCAGTGTTTTACCAACTGAGACCCTGGCTGATGGTAATTTTGAAACTTTTTCTGTTGTTGAGCTGCCTAACGCCCACAGTTCCACTTTTCTCTCAAAGATACTGAGCTCGTTAATGGCAGTTTTTTCCTCCTTCAAAAGCTGTTCATATCTGAAAAGAGAACACTGAAATGTAAGAAAAGAAATCCAGTATTCATTGTTCATTCACTGAAAATTAATTTTGGAATTGTTCAATGCGACACAAAAGCTATTCTTTAAAGATTAAGAGCTGAAATTGTAATACAGATGACAGCACAGTTGTAATGATCTCATAATAAAGGACTACACAATTAGAATTAAGTTACCCTTTCAGTGAAAGCATACATTTATGGCACTCAAACAACTAACTCAATCCCCTCCTGACACCAGAATAGAGAAAGAGAAAAAACCCACTCCAACCAATTAAAAATAAAAAACAACAGCAACAACAAACACCCCTCTCCCCAATCTAATCTCTTCTGCAGCTTTTCTCTGAAAAGCCTTGTAGGCAAATGATTGTTACATTGGATCACTCTTTACAAGGCTGTTTATCAAGATTCTAACATTGATAGCTTGAGTTTTGATTTACATACCACAGGAATCACTACCAAAAGAGTAAAACAAAACAATAGTTTACTTTATTAATGCAAAGTTTTCACTGTGTCTTATGAAAGTGCTTTCTCTTGGAGCTGCAGCATGTATAAACATACATTTGCCTCTGTTCCTCTTTAAAGGCATTGATTGCATTTTCAACTTCTTCCATCATTTCCTTGAGCTTGTCAACAACTAAAAAGGAAAAGAAGGTGACAGCATATCACTTAAGAAGCCTACAGTATTTACCAGTAATTTAGCACTATCCAGAAATGTAGGCACTTGCAGAGACCTCTGGGACACTTATTTCAGTGGTAGGAAATGCATGCTTTTTCAGTCTCAAACAGTCTTAAAAGACAGACTCCCATTGTTTCAAAAGGTGTGATTTCATAGTGATTTAGGTAACTCAATGCAAATCCCAGTATAAATAGTAGTCCTGATACAGAGAAAGTCGGTAAGACAGCTGTCTAGAGAAGATCTATTTTGCAATGGTAGAAAAAAGTTTTAGAGTCTGTTTTAAACCAGCACAACATCCCTATGGACACATATTGAACACAGTATAACCTGGCTTTAATAAAATCATAAACTAAATTAGTACAGTTATATAATCTAAAACTCTTAGTTCAGCTTTTATGTTTTGGTATCTTTGTTGATAGCTTAAGAAGATAATGCTTTTTTTGTAGAATAGATACTGAATAAGTGAAATGAGATGCACTTAATCTAGCATCAGAAAGCCCTCAGCTATTAGGCCACCTTCAACCTGAGCTCCACATGAGCTAGTAGAGTTTCACAGGAAAATGGTTCTTTCAGAGCCTATTTCCCAAACGTTTCAAAACATCCAAACTGAACAAGTTGTTTCAGCATTTTTCACAGAATATTCCAACTTACACTTAAAGCCACGTGAACAGCTGGAAGGGAGTTCCCTGTAGATCCCACCTGCCCTGTGACCTCTTACCAGAAGAAAGGGAGCTATATCTAAACAGGTCCAGAATACTAACTTTATTTTATATAAGGCAAGGAGTTACATATAGAAAATACCCGACTTTCAACAGCCTGAAGAAACAAACCCACACCACTTCTAAGACAGAGTAAGTTTCTCTGTTTCCACGCAGATCTGCACCATCTTTCACCATTTCTTATATTTCTACATTCTTCCCTTCCCAGATTCCTGGAAAAGCACACAGACGGGAGAAGCAGTATCCCAACTCAGCAGGAGAATCACAAGCCCAACTATGCAAGAAACCTGTCTATAGAGGAAAAAGTTTTTAAATCTGTCATCACAACTTACATTCTGGTGTAGGCTTCACATCTTTTAATTGTTGCTGAAGTCTCTTCACGTTATTTTGTATTTTTGATAGCTGCTGCAGGATTTTAGCTTCTGTTAAACAAAATAAGGTGCTGATAGTTCTAACAGTTTCTTTGTGCATTAAATTCAATACAAGAGCAATGAAGTGTCCAAAATAAACTGGGAATGTCATCTAAGCAGGGACACAAGTTCTGTTTGATCAAAAGAAACTGCCATAATACTAAGCATTTTAACATGACTAACTGCATGTAGCTGACTGCACAGGCCACTTATCTCCCCATACAGCTTCCACAGATTTTAAAATCAGTAGCTCCTATTTCTAAATGGGTTAACAGGATAGGCTAGATATCCAGATTAAATCAGGTTTGGGTTCCCCTCCCACCAAACCTTTTATTGGCTAACTAGAGTTTGGAGAATATTGCCTATGCAGATGACACCTCCCCTAGAATTTTGAGGGAGACTGATCTAGGCCTCACAACACTCAGCAACAAAGACAAAACAAACTTGGAAAGTGAATGTACTACTTCAATGAGATTTATTTATTTGCTGTGCTAACTAAAGTAGAATCAACATTATTGTGTACACCAAGCACGCATGCACATATTTGCTTTGTTACCACTTGGCTCCTCAAGAGTCCATAAATACAATACCAATGAGGATGAACTTCTGGATACATCTAAGGTACTACGGAGTCTGGGGACTATATCTTCTATCCTAAAGGATTTCCACAGAAAGTGTAAAAGCACATAGATCATGCTGACAGACCTGAACACAGTCAGTGGGAAGTTTGGGGGTTCTAGTACACACCCTAAAAGATCATACTCTTAACACTCCTTCACATCTCATGTAGTGCCTTACACCTCTCATTTCTGTCCTCTATTCTCACAACAGTATCTCCATCCATGCTTTCATGCTCCCTTCTTACCCCTGGAAAAATTTTCTGAACTTTTTAGCTTAGTCATTCCTTGGAAATATTTATGTTTCTTAAGGATTGCAACATGTAAAGGATATGATAAGTTTCCTTTAATTAAAGCACATAAAAATTTGTAAGGTAAATATATTTTTTCTCTATGTGTCCTTCCCCTCTTCAACTTACCTTGTTTTGATCTTCTATATCAGAAGGCATAGCACGATCTATTTGATTACTTTTGAAAGACTTTAGGTACTGTAACCAGGGAGTCACTTTTTTTCCTGAAGTATTTAATTAGTCCGTAAGTGGAACGGAAATTATAGGACAGACTGTGTACCGTCTCATAGCATTTGAAGAATGTAAACACAGAACTGTTAGAAGTCTATTTAAAGCAGCAATCAGCGTGAAAAACTTATGTTGTGCTAAGTATGTATTTATTGTACCTTAGCTGGACTACATTAGATTTTGCAATACACACACAAAATTTATTCCAAGCTTCTAAAACGGTAACCAAAAGTTTTTGTGGGTTGTATCTGCTACATTCAAGGTTAAAAGAAAAGTTAATAACATAGAAGGCCCAAAATGTTTATGCTTCTGAATTTTGCAAGTGAATTGTGGAAGTATTCTTTATAAGCAGTACACATGGTGAAATACCACACTTGTATCAGCATGTACTTTCCACCTGAACTAATCTCTGTGCTACCAATTATTAAACCATTTACACATACAACAGTAGAGTAAAAAAAAAAAAAAAGAGTGAAGAAAAACCCCAAATGAAACCCCACCTACTTTCAGCTTTCCTCCTGACATCCTGCTGACAGTCATGCTATGTTCCAGTTCCTCTAGTAGGCTGTGTTCTACTCTGAAATCACTCTTCCTATTGTAAAGATGTCCATTTTTTTCCTTTTCTGCATTTGCAAGCCTGGGGAAAAAAAGTTGCCACACTAACACACAAACACTTAGCAAAGCCCCAATATTTTCCAAGGTTAGTATCCCACTGAGGCTGTGTCAACAAGACTGTGTTAGATTTTATACAAGTTACCAGTTTGTTACTACAGCTGTTTTCAATGAAAATCTTTCTGCAGTTATACTACACACCGAAGTAACCCAAGAACTTGAACAAGAAGTTAGCAACAGAATTACCTCACTGACAGGCAGTGGTTCACGCTGAAATGGCCTGAAATTTTATCCATATGCTATCAGGAAGTGTTATGAGATTTTTCATTGGATATTGCAGGGACAGAGACAGGCTGTATTAATGCAGTTGCACACATAGATGGAGCTCCCGCACAGACCAAACACGTAGATTCCCTGAGTCTTAACACTAGTAATAGTACTACTGGAACTGAAGATTCAAATTCATTAGCATTTAAATAACTTAAGATTAAAGCTGTTACCTTACCTACTGACTATGCTTTATGTATAGTACTGAGACCTATAAGTGACTTTTGCTTTCGTACTAAGGTCAGAAGCTTTAGAATACAACTCAGTGGGATGTGTTTTGCCTTACTACAACCAGGCGGCATACTAAGGTTTGACCCACAGAACAGCAGATACAAAAAGACTGCAGATACTGGAGCACCAAGGACATCTGTGAAGTTTGGTACCATCACATCAGAGATCAGAACATCAGAATAGCAGGACACCGATGCCATACAGACATCTGGTAGGATTCCTAATGCTAAGCAACACTACTGACAGCCCAAGAAACCCTGCCTCTCAGTAGCAGCTTGGTTCTTCAGCAGACTACTGCTACTATATGGTTTCAAACCCCTATATGGTACAGTTTATGATTCACAGTTTAAATGCTATGCTGTTTGCTGGAATTCACAGACCAGACCCAACTACCAAATCTCTGCAAAGAGTGCACTAAAAGCCTTCAGCGCACAACTACAGAAGGACAATGTACCATAGTTAAGTAGCATGCCTTGTTTGGAGCTGCTTGGGAACTTCTACGTTACCCAGCAGTCAGTTTTTGAGCCATAACCCAGGATCCAGAATAACTAAGGAAGAGCCGATTCAGTCAGACACCATAAAACACTGATCTGAGACTTAAGTGTCACACGTCATTCAGGATTCACAACTACAAACCTCTCCTTCAGCCAGGTGGCTACATCAGCCCTTCCTCATAAAGCTCATCTGTGCAAGAAACCTCCCTGTTCTTTCAGCTGCCAGTGTCATTCTTACAGCACTTACTCAAGATTTGGGGAAACATTTAAATAATTTCTGTGCCTGAGCTGTCTTGAACCCCTGTTTTGCAAAGCAGTGGTCACGATATTCTAGATAAAGTGCTTTCATTCTTTTCTGAGGAAGCTGTTGTAATGCTGTGGCAATTCCCCTTTTGTTGGTATGTCTTAAGGGCTTTAGGTTCTTAGAAGGCTAAGCACAGCTGAGTAGGAAAACTGAGAACTCGATTATGCCACACCAACTTTCTTTTCTGTGCATCTAGTACAGCAATAGCTTACTAAAGATGACTGACCAAAGCCCAAATGGTAATTACAACAGGGCATTTTGGAGCTCATGAGCATATCATGAGCTACCATAAACAACCACAATAATCTGTTTTATCTCCTGAAAAGGAAATCTTAGCTTAAAGGTTTCATTGCCATAAATTCTTACCTTGAAACTTGTGTTATCTTACCAACAGAACAGCATGAAAATGTATTTATGATGAAGTGTTTAACTTACTGGGTTTTTAGCTTTTCTGCAGTTCTTATGAATTCAACTTTCTTAGCTTGTTCAGCTTTCATCTTCCAGTTCTGAAATTGTCGACCAGCACCTGCAGTACTGGAACAGTTGTCACTCTGTACATAACAAAATCAAATATTATTAAAAAACCCCAGTATTTATTTTTTAAATGCTCATCTTTTAATTTTAGGCAGATACCACCACAATGCAGGGTAACAGCATTACTTCAGTTTTATACTGGCACAATTAAAAAAAAAATTTGAGTCACACAGGTATAAAACTGGAGTGATGTGATGGCACATTGATAACTGTATACAAAAATGCATTCTTCAACAGAGAAGTGGAAAGACTGCAACATCAGCTCGCTTTACCAGAGGCTGCTCACCACACTGCAATACTCAATCAACTGCTTTGCCTCTCACAGCAGTCGGTCTCTGACAAGTCTGAGTAACTACCTACCTGACTGTAAGCATGTAACCTTCATTAGGCAGATTACCCCCATCTCATCTTGTTCAAGAAAAGCACTAGCTTAACTTCTGAAATCTACTCAACATCCCTTGCAAATTAGCCAACTCCTATTCATAACAACCCTGAACATCCTTAACATAATCACTGCTAGGAATGCAGATAATGGAACCGCCTGTTCAAGTTATGAAACTACCATTTTCAGGCCGGCCCGGCAAGCCCGCACTGCTTCCTACAGGTTTTTTAACCTCACACGAGTTTGAAACTCCTCAGCGGCCGCCGCCCGGCGGGCCCACAGGG